AAGAGATGGCTTCAAGTCAGTCTCCGAGGCAGTTGGAGTCGACTGCAAATAGCTGCAGAGCCTGATTGCATTTTGTTATTCAGAAATATGGTATTGTCTGTCTGTGCCAACACTAGTAGCAAGTAGGCACAAGTGGGCAGATGTGAGTTTTATATATCACATAGAGATATCTACATTGGCAATGTGCAAACTCTGACCAGTCCAGGAAGACTTAACAGTCTACTTTTTGACTTTAGGGCTTATGCATTTATTCAGTGACATTCAAAGTTATTGAAAAGTAGAGCTTACTCAGTTTACTCAATAAAAATATCCGTGAACTGTGTTCACCTGCTCTCTGCTAGTGTGGATGCAACATTAGTCAAGTTGGTCATCAAAAAAGTGTCAAATATATTTGTTTGAATATTAGTAGTCCAGAAAAATAAAAAATAATAGTAGCACTTACATATGTATTGCATTGCTTATTGATATAACAGCAAAAGCCATTGGCAAGTTATATTTGGTAAATGGAAGTTGAAAAAAATTTACTGGTCTCCTTAAAATGAATTCATGATAAGATAATTTATCAAATTATTTTGTGTTGAATTGTTTAAAGAAAAATATTTAATAATAAAAATAAATTTACAGTCTTTGTTTAACCCATTACCGCCAGGGAAAATGAATAAAAAATGGGGAAAATGCTGTGTTCATTTTTTTACTTTTTGGGAAATGTCTCTGCACATAGATGGTTCTGCTAGTGCCTAGCCACAAAGGAGTCAATTAGTAGATCTTGAGACCTTACTTGATTTCATCTTTCCTTGAATTGGCGGGAAAAATATATTTTTTACTAGTGCTATAAATATTGATGGTGTATTTTATTATAAATATTATAATTACTATAATGTTATAAACATTTGTAACAGCAAAATAAGATAACGCAAAATATTTTTGTAAATCAATGAAAAAGGTGAACAGGTGAGACAGGCAGTACTCATAACTGGCTCACTGGTGACTTAGTACAAGTGTAGCCATCTATGTATAAAAACAAATAAACAAGTAAACTCACAATGGGCATGGCATGTACATGCCATGCTCATTGGCAATGGATAAATATACTCACATTTATAATTACTATTAAATTGTTTGCACATTCATGTTTCTTCTAGAGCCAAGTACTTTTGTATGTGATAACTTAGCTACTGTTAAACATTTGTATTAGTATTTTTTTCAAATGATATCTCAAAAATAATATATTTGTCTTGATCTCAAAGTACTGTTGTCTCTTGTGTTAATAAAAAGACATGTTAGTTTGCGTATGAACTGGTATATTTTTATATCCAGGAGAGAGTATCTCTTAAAACAAAATAATGAATATTACTGTATAAAACTTTACTATTACCCTTGTCATGGCTGTACAAGGCTAGCCAATGACTTTGGGAAATACAAAAAGACTACAATATATAACAAAGGCAGAGGGTAAAAGAATTTGGCTGATCAAGACCACCATTAGTGGTATTTGTTTCTGTGTTAAAACAATAGAAGACTCAAGTAAGTCTGTGTAGGTTAAAGGATCAACATTTTAAGTTTGAAGTAAAAAAAAAAATAATAAAAAAAAAAATAAAAAAAAAAATAATAAAAAAAAAAAATAAAAAAAAAGCAAAGCAAAGCACCTTTTGGTAAAATGCCATCTCAGCAACCACTCATAATTGGAGCACAGATGTACCTAATCTATAAGTGCATCATCATATGACTGAAAGGAATTTATTTTAATTCTTTGGTGACAGGAGGGCATGTATACTTGTCCTGTCCACTGTGATTTTAGTCACATTTAGTTAATTACTAGTTCTACCGAACCTCATCATTTACTGTATTTCTTTAATTTTTGGAGAAAAGTTTATTTTTAGTGTTAATTTTTGTAATAACATTATAATAACAATAATGATATCAGTAATAACAATTATATGATTAATAACAATAATATTAGAAATAAAAACTTTCTTTCCCAAAAGTTCAAGGAGTAGGGTAAATAGGTGAGGTTAGGTAGGCCTCATAATTGACTCCTTGGTAAGTACTTGTGAAGCCTCTATGGGTAAACAAAATTGATTAAACCAAACCACAGTGGACAGTCCATGTAACTAGGATGTCATGTGATGTCATCCTGCGTAACAGAGCACTTACTTTTCCCAACTATGAAACACACATTTTGCATTCTATGTTATCTCACTCCCTCGCACACTCCTTTACAGTCACATTTGTTTTAGCACACACACACAGAAATGGTAATATACAACCTACATTCATAGGCGAACTTAAACCAACCATATATTAGTTTGTATTTTTTTAACAGAGAATGTAAACCAATCATACATTTTTTTTTTTTTTTTTTTTCTTTACCAAAAAGTATCAAATTAACATAATCAACTGAAATACTGAGATATCACATTACTTTTACTTAGGGGGGGGGGGGGGGGGGCTTTTTCACAATTTCAGTATCTAAAATAGCTAGACTTATATGTTATATAGT